GGGCCGGGTGTGCGCCGCCGCCGGTGATCGCGGGGCCCCCGCGAGGGGCTGAGCCGGGCGCTCCGCTCCGAGCAGCTACCGGTGGCACATACAGCTCCAACGCCGTGCTTCCCAAAGTTTTGAAACTCCAGTCCTAAACCTGGCCCCCTGCCAATCCCAGCTGCGCGTTCGCTATTGGCCCCCATCCCAGGCAGCAGCCCAGGGTCCCACCTAGACACACAGCACAGGTCACTCACATCGGGCTGACCGACACCAGAATCACTACAGTATCTGCGATGGAGCAACCACCGAGACTTCAATACCTAAACTTTCTCAGGTTACCTGTATGCACCAGCAACCAAAATACAGGAGCCCTTTTCTATAGACAGAAAAACGGAAAAAACATTAAGCTTAATAAAATAACATCAAAACACTTACTAGATCAATAATTAATAGTAAATGAGCTCTGATGGAGTGAATCCTCCAGAGACAGGTAAAGGCTGCCTTCTCAAAGCTGAACACCCACAATTCCTGAGTTTTACTGGACAGAAAATGTACTGAAAGACACAAATCAGTATCTTTAGAAGTGTGACATGGAGATCAGACATTTTGATTAATACAAGAGACTTCTCTAAGAGAAAAAAGCCCCAGGGTTTATAGTGACATCCTTTAAAACACCCAAACTGCACATTTTTATAATTTGTATGCATTTCTCAACTTCCTGTTTCCAGCTGCGTTTGTATAACCAGAGTGCAGCCTTTTTTCCACAGTTTTTGTTCTAAGAGCTTGATCTTCTTCTCTGCTCACGAGAAAACTGTTGGGCTGTTTTTTTAAACATGTATTTTTAGGATTGTCGTTAAACACTGCAGTACTTTCTTTAAGCTCCCATGCATATTTCTTCACAGACTGCTTACAGAGATAGCCTACAGTTTTAATTCAAAAAATTACTCAGATGAATTCAGTAATTCAGAAACATCTCACAAACCAAACATAAAGAAACTCCTCACCTGTGGCACAGAGGCCTCCAGCAGCTGCAGGGAGTGCTGCCTTAACCTTTCCAAAGTCCAGGCAGGATGAGGGTGGGAGCTGCGGTGTGAGGGCTGGGCACACACTGCCCAACCCTAACACTGTTCTACCACATTTATCTACTCCTTAAGTAACTTTTTATAAAATCAAGCAAGACTAAGCATACACAGCAGTAGAACTGCTCACTCTAGCTGTGCACACTGATGCAAGCACGTATTTTTAGATATCAGTATCGTTACATTCGTCCAATGCATCATTTACAAAAGTAAATGTAAATGCATTAAGACGTACAAGAGTATTTGGTAGAACATCCTATGGAGATAATGAATCGTAGTTTTCACTGAAGTAGTTTCAGAACACATTAATACAAGTTATGTAAACTGAATAAACTTAATCCTCTATATTTTTATTAATTTTCTCCCCTTTATTACAGAAAGGTCATTTAGTAAAATTAGATCCTTATTCATAGAAAACCCAGATCTTACCATGCTTTTGTAGGAAAAGTTAATAAATTACATTTTTATGTATGTGCATGTGACTCCTCATGCACTGTGATTCCAGTAAGCACTGTCAGCTTTTATTCCTTTGATTGGAAATTATTCCAAATGCTGAAATGGACCAAATTTCAAAAGTATTCAAATTTTTAAGAATTTTTTCGAATTCTCTAGTTTTAGTTGAAATAGCCATGATTTTTTGTTAACAAAACCAAACCCCACAAAACCACAGTTCTTTGGAAAAAAACAGTTATTGACAGAGACAGAGAATACAACTTGACACAGTAAACTGGATTCTATATGAGGACATACAAATCAAGAAATATCAAAGGAATTCAATCCTGATTTGGATACTGAGGCATCTAGTTTCATGTTATAGTTTAATGATAACAGTCTTAATTCCCAGAATCTGATTGTGAAATTACATTACAAAATAAAATACTTAAGACAACATTTAATTATATACATTCTGCTCCAAAAAATGGACTGTGGAAATTCTTTACATTTCTCTTAGAAATACATACAGACCACAGCAGAGGCCAACAATCCACAGGCAATTAATAGCCATGAGTCAATTTCGGGGAAAAATACCTGTGGAAAGTTTTAATCTAATACTGCTTCACTAAAAGCATTTCAGTGTCTCTTCAGACTGCTTTAAGTAGTTTGTTCTCGTTGCCCCACATCATTATCCCAGTTTGCTTTGCATGATGCCTGGGTACTTGTTAGAGTGCATCTTTCACAGAAAAATATGACAAATATTAAGGACAGAAAATTAGGAGTTCAGAAAATTACAATACAGAAAGTCCAGGCAGGCGTACACTGTGTGAGTCATCTAAAACAGAGTGAAAAGTAAAATTAACTGTGCCCCTGTGCTACCTTCCTCTACATATTTTATGGAAAACTTTACATAGCTTACCCTTTATCTTACTTCAAAACACATCGTTTACATTATTACTTAAAAAGAAACTCAGCTCTGAAATAACCAGTGTGTTAGAGTGTAAGAACAAATAATTTAAAGCTCTTTTACCAGTCTAGACAACTTGTACATTCATTTGAATGGGAGTTCACACCAAATGCTGCAAGATAGGAATTACATTCAGAGAAATGGACATCAACCTTCATTCCAAATTTCTCATCAGCAACACTAGTAATCACCAATCTGGATGAGGAGAGTGTAACAAAAAATCACTTATATAGCCCCAATGTGCAAATGATTCATTTGTTAAGGGAAAAAAACACTAAATGCAGTAGTTTTCCCACAGGTGGCTGAATTTCACATGAAATGGAAAATTTTAGTTTTGGTTATGTTTTATTTCGTCACACAAGATGAAGAAATTATAACTTCTAATCCCACAAAAATATGCTTAGACCACACAAGTCTTCCTAATAAACCCTTACAGAAGCAACAGTTTCTTGGTTTGACTTAAATGTTTGTGGAAGCACAAATTCATTAATCTTTGTGTTGTGCACACATCAATTTTGACAATGTTTAGTGTTCTGCTTCTCCCCTGCCAATCATTTCAGCTGGGAACTTATTCAGAAGTCACTTTAAAGCTGTTCTTAAGTTACTTGATGACAAAAAAAAAGATTGCTGCAATGAAGTGTACTTTTAAGCAAATACACTGCTATTTGCTTCAGTTCATTAGAGATGAACCAAACTAAGGCTGCACAAGAAATCAGTATTTATGACCAAAGACAGATCCCAACTGCATGAAACAAAGCAGTTTCAGTGAAAATACAGCCAATAAAGTCTGGTGATGAGAACTGAAATTTGAGAAGTATTCTGCATTTTGTCTGAAAAACATGTGTCAGTCATGAAATCTCACAGAATTCTAAACACCAAAAGAACAGAACAAAAATGGATAGGTACTTAAAACTATGATGCCTAGTTCTCCTATATACATATATATATAAAAATTAACTTACATTATAATATCAAACTGCATAGCATAACAAAAGAAGGCAACTTGAATGGCTGAAATTAAAAAATGTGAATGTTACCAACTCTATTATTACCATTCTGGAATTTATACCATAGAGTAGACTTGCTAGCAACAGAATTGCTAGCAACTCTGTAGCCCAATTTAAGCAAAGTCTGCCTTAATTCCAGTTAAAGAAGAAATCATTAGCTCAGACAAGTAGTTGTATGCTCTGCTTTCAGGTCCTCTTTGCAGGTTTTGCTGTTAATTGTTTCTCTCTTTCAAGTTCCTTCTCACGTTGCTGCTCTCGTTCCAATTCTTCCTTCTGCCTCTTTTGTTGCAGCTTAAGTGCTCTTTTCTAAACAGAAAAGACAAGAAAATAATTTTAAGTTTTATAGATATATTTAAGTTGGAGCAACAAACAAAATCCCTCCCATTCTCCTGTCCAACACATCCTGGCGAGATTCTTATCATGCAATTTACTGCCTCCCAGAAAAAATCCTCTTATTGAACATACTAAAGGATTAATATTGCCATAATGTAACCAGGCTGTCTGTATAGCATGAAACCAGTGAACTTTTGTCACTATTAATGGTACATTAAGCAGAAGGAGAAATTTTTACATTTACAATAATCTAATTTCCATTGAAATGAAAGTGAAACAACAAAGACAACTGCTTGAAATGGAGTGGACTAAGCAACAGAACAAGGCATGATTCTTAAACCACCTAAACATAAAGATGACACTTAAAAGAATAGTTCAGTTGTGTAAGTTCCTTGAGCACCATTAGGAGCGAGTGAAAGGTTAAAAAAATGCATGGCTTGGAGCTACTGAAAACATCCTTTTAAGGTAAAATTTTATTTTAATCAGAATTTTCAGCATGCATCCAAAATAAAAGTTGGAAAACAATAACACATAAGTAAATATCTATACTGGAAAGTAAAAATATTTATCCCACTTACTTTTAACTTTGATGTCTTCTCATGCAGCATCATCATTTCATTTCTAATATTCACTAACTTGTTGTGATAGTGTTTAGCTTCTGAAAACTTAAAACCCATAATTGTTAAAGTAGTAACTGTTAAGTTAGAATAGCTGTTTTATAAAGCTACACAGCAAAATAGCAATGAAAAACAGTGATTACCAGACCAGTTTGATAATGGAACAAACACGTTTAAGTTTATATATAAAATTTACATATCACATATTAATATAGAAAATTTCAAGAGTTACAAACCGTAATCTACTGAGTTAAGATTCATGAAACAGACCAAAAATATTACAACTTTATGCACCATACATGAGTGTTTCAAGGACCCTTCCTGC